TTTTAAGCGACGTAATTGCTATTCGTACCCATGGTTGCCAAAATTGGTAACTTTCTACCAAAATTGGTCACTTTTAAGCGGTTTGGTAACTTTTATTTCATTTTGGTAACTTTTTCAACCAAACATCTATTACTAATTAATTATGTTTTTCATGTGCGTATTTATAAAAACCCTTCGAGTTTCAGTGGCAGTACTACTGACACTTCTACAAAATTACTTCTACAAAATTACTTCGATAAAATTAGAGTCATCTCCTATTCGAATACTGGAAATATTTGAATTGCAGTGGCAGCACTACGGGCTACACTTCTACAAAAAAAATCGAATTTTTGCGATCTCACATTTTAATACTGGAAATACAGTTTGGGACAGTAGTTCAGTAAAAATGGTATACAAATTCGGCAATCTGGCAACTTTCCGGCACACAAAAAAAATGTCGCGTGCTTTTTACCAGACCCACCTACCGAATGTATTTCGACCCACTGGATCCGAATCTGAGGTCCATTTGACACGTACCGTACACCGAAAAAAATAGCAAAAAATTGGCAATTTTCGCAATTTACTCGAAATTTTATACGCGTCAAAAGGACGGTTAAAAGCACCCGAAACTTTTTTTTGTGGGCCGGTGCTATTATTCCGTGAGTCGCAGGTTCAAATATCGGCACATTCCGAACGAAAAATGACACTGAAGATGGCACAACGCGGAAACCGGTTTTGTCTCCAAACCAAATTTGGCAAGCGATGACGGAAAATCGTTCCACATTACATCATACTCCTACGCTGTCGAAAAGACGAACAACGAAAATGAAAATATCGGCACATGCAGTAATTATTTTCTAATAAAAAAAATATTATAATTGTCAATAGGATTTTCAATCTTGATATTTTTTTTTAGAAAATAGATTTGAACTTCTGTGCTAGAACTGAGAGCTCTTGATATATAATCAAAAATTGACAAATTATAAAAATATTGAATTTATTACATAAGTGCACAGATTCTTGCTACATATATGCACAGTATACAATAAACCAGCCGTTGACAATATGCTTATTTGAAAATTAATACATGAAATATTGTGAATGTATAGGATTTTTTGTTCATTTACCCATCCCAGTGGGAATTAGGAGCACGTAATAATACCTTATTAGCAACTTACTCTTCACCTGGCAGTCATTACCATTTCCCTGCCGAACGTCCCTTACTTTTACAAAGGCATGGCCGCCTTATGTAAGTAGGAATTTAGAATGTACATTTGGTATCAGACATACTTCTGAGCTGCTTTACAAAGTAAGTTACTAGTAATGCAGAGCAGTCGCTCGGAGTAGTTCGGTGATTGGAAATAACTTCGGCTGCACGTTATTTTGCAACTGACAACGTAATGTGTCTTCGGAGGTGTTCATTTTGCCCTTTACTAGTAGATGACATTGGCCATGATGACAATTTTGGTACTAAAAACTGAAAGAAAACATGGCTTACCTCGCAAGGTGCTTACCTATTTTCCCAGTGGGATAGGCAACGACTGATGCAAAAGTACCCACACACGTTTGTTCATATATTTGAAATGTAAATTTGAACAGAAAAATTCGTAAAAAAAAATAATAAAACAAAATATTTTTGATAACTTCGTGGGAGGTTGGCGTGGTTATTGGCAGATTTCGCCAAAATTTAACACTAACCTAAATTATACCAAAGGCAACTTCGAGGCCGACTTTCGTTAAAATATCTAAATTTTGTTCGAGTTAGCGTGTTTACAAACAGAGAGGGCTGAACCAATTCGTGTTGTCATTCCGAATATTTTGATATATATGTATGCATATGTGTATATATGCACATACATTTTATACGGTTCACAAAAGCGTTTACTTATCTGCATAAACCGTCTTTACTTGCATTAATTCATGCATTATCCTCTTTCAAATGTGAATAAGCGGCATTTTGTGCATTTGAAAATTAGAGTTCGACCTTAAGCAAAGTAATACTTGTTTTACCGCCTAATCGATGGGACCATTTTACAAAGTCAGCCCACCACTATTCACTCAAAGTTTTGTTCGGAACACGGTTTGACTTATATAGGAACTGCATCCGGTCATAATCGCTTACGCTTCACGCTTGATTTGCTTGGAATTGGGTTTTTCTCGTTGTTTTATTTTATGTGACTTGAAAATATTTTTCAATATAAGGAAATATTTAAATTGGATTTCATTTGGGTTAACGAAAACGACAACTGTGAAAAATTATCAACCAATACATTCAAACAAAATGTCAAATAAGCATATTTACATTTTTTGTTTTGGCTATCTGGATTACTGTATACTGTGGCTGTATGTAAGTATATTCAGTAAGTTTTATTCAGTATATTTTTTTCTCAGTGCAGAAGTGAAAATTTTGGTAGTGAAGATTTGGTAACTTTTGGTAACTTTTCTTAAGAAAAAAATTTTGACGTGTGGCAACCATGTTCGTACCTTGTCATAGCCAGGCGCTGGGACATCGATTCCATCGTCATCGAAACAGGATAGAATAGAGGCGAAACCCGAAAATGAGGACCCTAAATTAATAAATATTGTACAAGCAGCAGGAAGAAAAGAAACATTGTTAAGTAAGCAAGGCCTGCCTGTACCAAACGCGCAAATGGTTTTGACAGTAAACGAAGCATATCCGCTTTCTAAAAAGGAATTCAAGGATTCTGAAATTAGCAAAACAAAATTTTATGCGAGCAGACCAAGATCAACGGAAATAAGCTCAACTGACACTATTTTGCATACTGGTGCGAAATAAATTCAATTGACATTATTACCTTTTCAAAAGCGAAATAAAATCCTTTGACATTATTGCTCTTTCAAACATTAAATTTGCGTAGATTCGCGGCGGCTCACGTACGCGCGCCACAACGCGTCGCACTCCGCCGCGCCGCCCTTGTGCCAAATTTTTGTTGACTTCATTTCGCGTTTGGAAAGGAAATAATGTCAACTGACTTTATTACGCACCAGTATGCTAATTAGTGTTAATAGTGTTATGCACTTACCACATAACATTTGTGGAAAATATTTTTATTGGTTTCAGATAGGTATTGATGATGACTACTCATGACAAAAAATGTGTATTCATTCAGAGCCTACTATGGTATTTATGATGAAAAAAGTGTTGCCAAACGGAACGTCCGTAACGCAAGAAACACCCATATACCCACACATAGAGTCTTTCTTAGATTAAAATTTCATCTCTTATATAAATGAAAAAAAGATATCAAATTAAGCATATGAACCTTTTTCATGTCAAGGATGAATAAATTTTTCAAAGGGATAAAAATAGGGCTAGTAGCAATTTTAAATTTATGTGGCCAAAAAAAGTATAAGTATAAATCTAGCCACCAAAGGGCTAAAACGGCAACACTGATTGCCAGAACTTTTTGGACCAACCGGCTAAATTGAAAAAAAAAATATCGGCTAAACTGTTTCAACTAAATTTCACATGTTTTATTCAAATATATCACAAGTACACTCTAAAAAAAATAGTGTAATTTTACGTGCTAAAAGGTAGGTTACTGATTTCCTACCTTATTATTCGCGAAATTACATGCTCGATTATTCAGCGAATAGTTTGTTTAAATTTCGGCAAAAAATGTTAAAAAATTTGCGTCAAAAAGAACGCGAAATTAAATGCCAAATGTGCTATATTTAATCCAAGAGTGTTTAATTTAACACCAAATTGGTTTAAATTTCAGCAAGAATGTTTAAAACTGTGTACTATAATAACGCGAAATTTAATCTCAAATGTGTAATATTTAAACACATGAGTGTTTAACTCTAAGCAGAAAGTGTTTGAAAATGTGTATTAAAAGTACGCGAAACTTAATCCAAAATGTGTAATATTTAAACAAATGCTTGTTTAATTTTGCACAAAATGTGTTTAATTTTCAGCAGGAAATGAATAAAAATTTATACTAAAAGTACGCAAAATTTAATCCCAAATGTGTAATATTTAAACTCATGAGTGTTTAATTTTACACAAAATGTAATTAGTACTCAGCAGAAAATGTTTAAAAATGTGTTCTATAAGTACGCAAAATTAAATGCCAAATGTGTAGTATTTAAACACAAGAGTGTAGTATTTAAACAGAAGTAGTTTCACCTTAAAATAAAATAAATCCGGAAATAGTTTTTCATTTTATATACTAGTTATGTACATATTTTGTTTTATTTATTACATATGGGTTCATTTTATATTGATTCATTTCATATGAAAGTTTAGCTCATTATGTAACAAAGATCACATAAATCCATTGAAATTACTGAACATTAAACAAATATGAGAAAAATAGCCAAAGTTGGTCAAGAAGTCTTGTTTCTATTATTTTGATCATATGAATACACTTTGCAAAAACATATGGCTTAGGGTAACAGAAATAAGTTATTATAAATTAATTCATTAATTCATTTTATATAAAAGTTTAGCTCATTATATAAGAAAGACCACATAAATCCATTAAAATTAATGAACATTAAACAAATAAGATAGGGTTAAAATATAGGGACACGACATTTTGAAATTTCAAATTTTTCTACAAAGTTTGAAATTTGGACTTTTAGCTTTTGTTAGACAATGAGCTGTATTTTTATAAAAAAGAAGTTATGAACATTAAACATGCAATGAAAATATAGCCAAAACTGTTCAAAATGTCGTGTCCCTATTAATTTTCACATGACTGTACGTGTACGTATTTACATATACACTTACATATATACATATGTACATATGTATAACTTACACACGAAGTTTTATTTAAATCATTTAAAATTGGTTAGCTTGACAATTAAATTATTGACCTCCTGTGAATTATTTGTTTTTCTTCGCAACTCGAGTACAGGGCGGATAATACTTATACAAATTTCTTACAAAGAACTCCATTGTTTTCTGATATTTCCGCAGGAAAAATTAAATTACATAAATACATAGAAAATGTGTATGATTTGTTTTAAAAAGGGGAGAAGT